CTTTCCTCCCCCCCCTCCCCCCCTTCCTACAGTCTGTGTTAATGAGCTAGCCATCAAGGCCATGCATGTCAGACAGACAGAGTCACTGGAGAGGCCCTGGCGCTCATTAGCACTATGACCCCTCCAGGGAAACACACACAAAAAAGGGGGGAAAATGCTGAAGAGACAAGTCAAAAGCCTAGAATGGGAACAACACCCAGACCCCCACTGCAGCAGCAGAGAGGATAGTAGAATCCAAGGGCAGGAACAGGGAGAGAAGGCTGAAAAGAGAGGCCGTCGGAGCAAATTAAATTCCCCGTCTTCAAACAGCCAAGGCAACCAAAGGACGTAAGTGAAGAAATAAGTTCAGTACAGACCTCAGGGATCGTTGCTTGAAACCAAAAAGAAATTAAATGCATTAAACAATGAACGAGACAGAGTCTGTTCAAAAAAAAAAAAAAAAAAAAAAAAACAGAATAGAGGAAACTGAACAAAGTCCGTAACTATCACAATATCATCCCAATGCCTTCTGTTCCTGTGATGCTGCATATGTCAGTGGGAATTGGGCAGAGAAAGGGCACCATCTCCCTCCTGCTCAGTGGTTCTTTATCTGTGTTGTAGAACATAGCTCAAAAGCTCCAATGGTCATAGAATCACAGAATCATATAATCATGAAGGTTGGAAAGACTTATCAAGCTCAACCACCAGCCCATTCTCTCCATACCCACTAATAAAATAGTTATTTTGTGTGCAATCTACCCACTTCTTGAACACCACCACTTCCTGGGCATCCTGTTCCAATACCTCAAGCCTTTTCTTTGATGATATTTTTCCTAATTTCCAACCTGAACCTTTGCTGGCATAACTTAAAACCATTACCTCTCACCTCTCTGGTGAGCAGACAGAGCCTTTCCAAATGAGGCAGCACTCTCTTCAGTAATAGCAAGTAGTAAACATTGCTTAATGCCCTCCACCTGCCCTGCTACACATACATTGATGTCAGTAGGATGCCAGGTAAGAGATAGAGAGCTCCCAGAGCCTTCTTGTCCTCCTGGGTTTTGGTGTATGCACATCTCCCTAGGCTCATGTTTACCCCTTGCTATCACCCAAGTACCTCACAATCATTCAGGCTGACGTTTTGGGGCAACCCTATGTTGCAGAGAAGTGTTATTAGCTGTTTGCAGCCAGAACACAGGCAGTATTCAGACTTTGTCCAGGTAAAACAGAAGCTTTTTGATAGCATCAGGAACTGAGCCCAGTGTCCTCTAAAAATCCTCCTGGATGCTCCTACAACAGAGCTGGGATTTCTGTTTGTTTGCTCTGTTTGTTTTTCCTTTTCTCAATCTAATTGTCCCAGCCAGGGGCTGCACAAAGTACCAGTTATCTCCAGTCCCCAGGGCGATTGCTCGTCCAGGCTGCTGTGAGCCCGACTGCAAACAATGCCATGGAGGCAGGGCAGAGCAGGACTGCAGCACTGTAATGCTTATCTTTTACCACCAGATCTGGCTTAATGCAAGCCTGTGCTGGCTATCTGTGGTCATGGTGGGCATGGTGATGTTTTATTTCCAGTCTATGCCCTCAAAACGCCAGACAGCCCCAGGCTGAGCATTGCAATATTCCTTCAGCAGTTCCCTCTGCAGTCTGGCCCCTTCTCTATCTAGGCCAGCATGAAGAAGTCATCCTTCAAAGCTGAGCTTTTCAAAGGCCCTACAAGAATTAGTTTCCTGTGAGGGCTTGGCACTCATCCCCCCTAATCTGTTTAAGAAAACTCTAGTCCATAGATTCAAACCAGTTCCAAATTAGACAGAGGATGAAGACTTGCCATAAAAGAAAGAGGGGAAAAAAAAATCTAAGGAAGTATGAAAAAGGAATAATTTAAGCTGAAAATCTTGTGCATAACATTGTGCATAATAACCAGGCCAGCAGACAGGCTGCCATATGACAGCCAGCAGGTGAATAAGATAAAGAAATTTGATATTGATCTATTGATTAATGCCGTGCTGTCCATGCCAGTTTTATTTCTTTAGGAGTGTACAACTGCACAGGACTGAACCCAAGGCAAAGTCCATCAGTGCCGGGCTGACTCCAGATACCCATCTAGAAGAAATAGAGTGCTTTGAATGACTGACACCTTCATGTTCCTCAGGACAGTGCAAGAACCTTCTGCTGTTTTTCCTTGGTCTATACTTTGGCCATATGATCTGGGCTGAGGTGTCTGAGACCTCAGTATCTCCCTCTGTTCTAGGCAATCACTTCAGCCTGCTCCAAACAGAGTTTTGTCTTTTGTCTCTCTGTTATTTTTCTAAAATTAAAAAAAAAAATAAAATTCTTCAGGGGCTGAAAATATTGCTTTTCTTTTCTTTTCTTTTCTTTTTTGTTAGAAGGAGAGAGAGATGAATAATAAGTCCAGAATGACATGAAGTTTGCAAGAAACAATAAGAAAGAAAATTACTTCAAAGTTAGGTGGATTTCGTGTGACCTTGAAAGTATCTGGGTAAACAGATTGTTCCAGCAGTGAATTAAAATCCAATCAGACAAACATGACTCTGAGCCTTGTGTTCCCTGTCAGGATGTGACTATACCTGGATCTCTCAGGAGACAGCAAGTAATTGTTGGGTGCTGGAAAGATCGATTTATTTAAAAGAAGGTGAAACAGGAATAAATGTATTACTAGAGACTCAAAGCAGAGTGATTCAGCATAGGTGAGTATGAGTTTAAAGACGGGTCATTCATTTTGCTCATTAAGTTGGCTCAGTATTAAATTTCAGCATATCCAAGATGTGGCCGTGATTCCAGTTTCAATATCCAAACAGCTACCATGGCAGACAAGCATAAGCAAGGACAGTAGTACTATCCCATCCACTGAATGAGGTCACTCCCAAGTTAGATATTTCTGCACTCTCAGCTAGCATATAGCAACTTCCAAACTGCTTCAGCACAGAGTAAACTCACCAGTCACTCTCGTCTGTTATCTATTGATCCATTCTCATATTCCACATGAGTCAGCTGGTCCAATTCCCTTCCATCACACCCATCAGGTTACAGTGCAACTGCCTGTGGGACATTTGTTCCACTCAACTTTCACCATAATGCACTTTGTGCAGAATTCATTGCAAGCAGCACAAACCTCAGGCATTAGAGATGCCCTTTCCAACACCAGCCTACTTAAGCTTCCTCCACCCTGGAGACTTGCTTGTAAGTAGTTCCCATTACTGTTAACACCATTTCAGCTGTTTTCAGCATTGTGCTGACGGCACTTCTTTTGAGCCACTACAATTTACATAGCAGTTGATACTGGCTGCTAGAAGCTGGAGTGACATCTCTATGAGAGCTTCCAGCGTTGTTAGCACCGCTGCAGCTTAACAAACATTAGCAACAATAGGAAGAGGTCTGTTCTGTTGCTGTTCTCTTCCTAAAAGCCTGCCTGAACCAGACGTGGTTTGTTAAGCTACCGAAGAAGCTGTTCTAATGGGCTGCCAGGTCCTGTGCTCCAAGCACTGAAACAGACAATACAGAGACACCCATTCCTTCACTGTGAATTACGATAACAATCACAGGAGATGAAGCCAGAGCTACTCTCCATTAAAATATCTGTGGTCGCCTAGAGAAGCTTGTCTACCAACCAGGCACACTGAATTCTGCTGTTAAGACTACGATGACTCTGAGTTTGTTTTTTTCACAGTGTGTTCTCCTGGGTTTATGTTTCTGTCCTAAGACCCAGAAATCAAGAGAAAGCAGATGCTGCGAAGTCAAGGAGCTGCCACAAACACACTGTTTTGACCAGCAGTGTGAAGCAACAGATGGAAACATCTGAGTCACCAGTGGAGTTCTGAATGGTCTTGAGGAAACTTGGGATAATTAATGCAAAATTAGCTTCTCTTTCTTCCAATTCTCTTCTTCTTCCTGTATGTTCCTTTCCTCAGCATATTATAAAGGGCTGAAAGAAAGGTAAAGCATAGGATGGTGAGAGACCTCACTAAGTTTGAACATGGGAGAAAAATGAAAATTAGTCAGCCTGGTAAGAAACAACAATAATAATGAGATAACTTCATGTTGAAGTGTTTGTTTGGGCTCCAGTAGGACAGAGGTTTAAAATCCACAGGAAACCCTCCTTCTATGGCTAAATAGTACTTGAAAACATTTAACTCCACTATTTCTTAAAGCAAGTTTCAAATGGAAGAAAGGCAGACATTCTCATTTATAGAGCAGACAGAAAATCCCCCCGGGAAGGACTGCTCTGTGCCGTGCCCTGGTGAGCTCTCCCTGTCCCACGTATCCTCTCACCAGGCCAGGTCTGCCCCGCCACAAAACTCACCATTGCTCACCAGTATTCTGATGAGCACAGCGGTATGAATCAAAGACTGCAACAAGAACACAGTTTGGAACAAGTTGTTTCATTAAATTGCACTTGCTTCATTTCCTGAAGATACCGATGTTTGGACTTCTGGTGATATTTTCCCCTAATTTTAGCTACAGAAAGCTGATAACCTCAGCTTGCAACACCACAGCCCCAAGCTTCGCTCTCTACTTATCGTGATTCACAGTAAACTCAGATGAAAAAAAAGCGTGATAAATGTGTTCTTGAACTTTAATTTCTCATGTTACAGGCACGGGTACCTGACTACTGCACTACTGGCAACCGAAGCACGGCATTTGTCAATACTGGGAAAGCAAGCACCAGAAATTTAGCCTTGATTGCCCTTTTTCTCAAAAAGCACAGAATTTTCTCCAACGCAGCGTGAAACCATGTTTCAGAATTTGAACTGTTGTTAGAAAATGGAGCCATCACCCCCCTCCGGTCAGTGGTGCTACGCTTTTGGCAAAGCTTCAAATTCGCCGTGCCAGGAGGAGAAAAAAAAAATGTGTTGTTTAAACACAGAACCCCTCCTCCCTCCTACACCCAGCTGTGCCCCCCAGCATGTCCCAGCAGAGCCATCTGGGCACTGTGACCGTGCCTGAGGACTTAGCCAGAGCAGCGATGGCAAAGCTGTCCCCTCGCCCACCCCTCAACCCTGAGTCATTCTCAGCTGATGGAGGAGATGCTGCAGTGGGTGCTGCTGGGTGAGTTGGATGGCTAACGCCAGCCTGTTGGCAACACCATCTGTTTGCATCAGGGACCTCGTACTGCAGGCTGGGTGAGGGTTTAGTCCAGGTTAAATGAAGGGAAGGGGCTCTACCCTGGGGAATGGCCTTCAGGTGGAAGACAGTGCTCCTGGGGTTTCCTCTGGGGGCTCTGCTTGGGCTGGGTGTAGGTGCACAGCAAATTGTCACCTGCAGAGATGCTGTAGGGTGGGGAGAATGGTCACGTGTGCCCCTAAAAGCACACCCAGACCCAGCACCTGGTCACCAGCCTTAGCAGAACACAGAAGATGGGAGGGCTCAGCAGCTGGCTTCCTTCAGCAACCCCCTGTGCAGAAAGCACTCACAAAGATGTGGGGAATGAGAACAGAAGGGAGCAAAATCTGTTCTGCCATCATAGAACAACACCACCTTCTGCTCCCACACCAATCTTTGCTACTTTATTCCTATGATGTTGTAAAAGTTGGTTGGGATTTCAGGGTAAATGGTAGCTCCTGCTCACAGTTCCTCGGGACACTCATGACTAATTCTCCATCCCAAGCTTCATGGCTCAACATCTGCTTGCTTTCCGAGCTGTGCTTTTACATCCAGACTCATTGCCAAGGCTTCCAGTTTCAACAGTGACATCCAGAAAGCCAGGATATATACAGTGGCTATTTGCAGAGACTGCCTCCTCTCACAGAGTTCACAGGACTCACAGAATGCAGACGGTAACTGGGCCTGAAGTTACCAGTAAAGGCTGAGAAATTAGGCTGCAGAGAATGACTGCAGCAAAATTCAAGCCATCCATAATCAGAGACATTTGTGTTTTGTTCAAGACTTTAAAAAAAAAAGTCCCTAAAAGCCTGTGACATTTCAGAATTACAGAAAAATTAAAGAAATTTTCTCTAGGAAAAAGGTGACCCATTTCCTCAGACTACATCCCTCTTTAGCAAAAAAATAAAAAAAACACCCAGAAACCTGAACACAAGCAGTGAGAAAGCCTTGAACATTCCCCAGTCACTCCAAAATCTCATTTCAACCAAAATCAGTTTTGATGTATTTAATTTTCATTTCTAGTCATGCCATTTCAATCTCAGACATGTTTTGATGGAGGAAATAAAAAGGCTACAATAAAATAAAAATTCACAAACTCGTGAAGAAAGGCAATCTTTTTGCATGCTGCAAAGTGGCCTGCAATAAAAAGACAACCGTGCCTTTCGTGCAACGTTTCATAAAGGAGAAGCTTTATTTTTGTCATGTCCTATCCAGGGAACAGGGTTGAGTGAAATACCTTTGTTTTCTGGGATCTGTTTGTGATGCTCAGACAAATTTGGTTATTCAGGCATGTGCTTAGCAATTTCCCAATCTCGTCATGTTTCCTTTAACTGTTACCTGTGACTGATGTATGGATCTCAAAGCCCTTTTAAACAAATGTGTCAATGCAGACAGCAGAACCAAGGCAGCAAGAGACGAGCAACTCTTCCAAGGAAGAGATGCACCATGAAGCACAGCCATGAACAAAATTAACCCAGGTCTGGGGCCAGACTAAAGCATTTCAGCAGAAAGAACTGAAGTAGCAACCTGCATACCCAGCCTCATATTGGTGATGGAGAACAGAAGGGCAGGAGGCAAATGTCTTCAGAAAACACCACTGCAGGTGGGACAGGAACAGGTTGCCCAGAGGGGTGGTGGTGCCCCATCCCTGCAGACAGCCCAACTCGGGCTGTTGGGGCTCTGAGCACTGATGGAGCTGTGGGTGTCCCTGTGCATTGCAGGAAGTGAGACTCTATGGCCTTTAATGACTCCTTCCAAGTCAAACAAATTTGTGATTCCCAAATCCTGGAGAGGACACTGGGGCCATGTGCAAGCAGTGGAGAAGTATGTGCTACAGCCAACAGGGAGCTGGTGGATTTGTTTGTAGTAAAAGTGAGAGGGATCAAATGCACACCTATGACATTTATCTTCTAGATGGTAATAAGACTCCAGTGCTGTAAAATCAATCTAATGAAATGCAAACCACTTCCTTTGGGAAAGTGATGCTGATTGCCAACTCTGTTGTCTCCCAGTCAGTAAAGAAGAGCATGCAGGTTGGTCTGAGAGAGGAGGCTGCAGACCTGCATGGCCTCCAGCTCACCCACGTTGCTTCATGCTGTCTGAATTCCTGCCTCTTTATGACTATACCAGAACCATATGATCCAGGAGGCTGGTTTAGTGTAAAAAAGGAGCCCCAGACTGTTTCCTCAGCCAACTGAACCTTTGGTACATCCAAAATAGCTGGGAGGGTTTGTTCTACCAACTCTGTAGGTAGAAAAACTACAGGGATGGGAGAGAGTTCAGCGTAAGGGCAGTAATCCAAATTGCTAACTGCCCTGCAATGCGTGCAGAGCTGCTTGTGTGCCTGCCTGCAGGAATCACTTAATTCTGCTGCAGAGCAACATACACATGCATGCTAAAGTCCACATTTCACATTCAGGTCCTGGGGAACCTAAGAGAAAAACTCCTGGACCTCAGTGCAGGAAGCATCCAGCCCGAAATGCAAAAGCAATCTCAAGGTCCAGCAGGGCTCTGCTCTGCTGCATCAGAATCTGGGGCTTGGGAAAGGCCCTGAATACGGCTCTGCCTTTTTTAAGGCAGACTCAGCATTCAGTGTACGTAAGGAGGAAAGAGAAGTCCGCTGTGTGGGGAGTTGTTTTAGTTTTTCAAGGTTACTAGGGAGTGAAATTGAGAGTGAAGGGGTTGTTCTTCAGTAAGGGCTCTTATGCCTCAGATTTTCATTTTGGCTTGGCAGGTCTTTGCTTTGTGCCTTTGTCATGGCTCAGGAATCCTTTGCTGAGGCTGGGTGGGAGCTTCTGCGAGGTCAGCTCTTCCCCTCTCACCCGCACCACTCTTTCATGGTAAGCTTTTTTTGGTTGAGTTGAAGTCAGGATGTCTCCAAGGCAAGGCACTGGAAACCCAGTCTGGGGGTGATCAGAAGCTGAAAAGACCTCCCCTCATGGCTAAAAAAAGTAAAAGCATCAGCTTGCAGCCTGCATGTCAGCTAAAGCCATAGCTATGGCTGAATAAGGGTTTATGTGCTATTGCACCTCTGAGCCTCTGCTCACAAATAATGAAGCGGACCCCAGGATTCTGAGGCATATGCATATGTATATATTTACCTACTGAACAAAACAGCAATCTCTGCAATGCTTTTTATTTGCCTGCTGTGTTTTGAGATTTAAAGACTCATCTTTTCTGGCTTTTCTTTGCAATCCTAAAAGACAGCCTATTCTTAATTTTTAAATGGGAGCTGTGAGTTATACAATTACGTGACTCAATCCTGGAAGTGCTCAAAGAAGAGGGAGGAAAAAACTAATATGAATCCCCTCCCAAGTCTTATAAAGATTGGAAAAAATAAAATCTGTGAGATCTAGAAGGGAACTGGGACCCTAGTCTCCTGCTCTCAGAAGGATATCAATCCCAGATATCTGTACAGACTGGGTAAAGAACTCTTTGAGAGCAGTCCTGAGGAGAAGGCCTTTGGGGTCCTAAAAAAGAGGAGACAAAAAGCTGCACATGAGCCAGCAATGTGTGCTTGAAGCACAGAAGACAAACAGTATCCTGCTTTGCATCAACAGAGAGGTGGCAGTGGGCAGGGAGGGGATTGTCCCTTTCTGTGCTGCCCTTGTGAGGCCCCACCTGGAGTGCTGAGCCAGGTCTGGGTCCCCCAGCACAAGGTAGACGTAGAGCTGTTGCAGAGGGCACAGAGGAGGGCCACGAGGATGCTCAGGAGCTGCAGCACCTCTGCTGTGGAGAGAGCTGAGGGCTGGGGGTATTCAGCCTGGAGAAGAGAAGGGAGGGAAACCTCATTGTGGCCTTCCAGTACTTAAAGGAGCTTTTAAACAGGATTGACTTTTTACATGGGCAAAGAGCGATAGGACAAGGGAGAATGGCTCTACACTTGGTCACTCTGAAAGTAATGCCTCCTATTTATTCCCATAAAAAACACAACAGCTACAAAGAGCTAACATGATCTGATAGAGCAAAGTCTCTGCTACAAAATGCTGTCTTTCTACATAGTCACCACCATTAGCTGTGCATTTTCGCCATTGATAAACAAGAGCCTGCATGCCATACTTATCAAAATCTGCACTAGTGGAGGTGACCACTGTGCACCTCTATGAACGCATCACCCACAGCCTCTCTGTGCTGGTATCTACTGTTTGGTCTCCATCAGTGTTCAGCAAATATCAATGAATGTCAATGGGTGCCATTTTTTTGCACGGAGGAATTGAGTGGCACCCCTTTGCTCCATCCATACTTCCATGTCAGAGACCATTCTGTCACACAACCCCTCTGCTGCCATCCGTCACACAGCAACAAAATGGAACACTGGTGGGAAGATTCAGCCTCTGTTGCCATCCCATCAACATTCATGATTACCTACCAAGCCCCAGCTGCTTGCTACTCTGCTTGCTGCTTCCCAGCTAAAATCGGCAGTCTCCACAATGAGGTGCCTCCATCCAGCCCCTGTTCTGGGATGGATGCACCCATTGGCTCCCAGTGGGAGCTGCTCTGGGCACCCACTCCCCACACTTTCCCACCACCCTGCCCCACTGTCCCCATGCCAGGGAGGCCAGAGGAGGGCTGGATGTAGAGCCTCAATCTTCCTGAGCACTGAACCGTTGCAGGCCACTCGCTCATCAGCAGCACCGAGTTTCTCTGACTGATTGTTTTCTGATTCTGTTTGGCATTTTATCCCAGCTGCATAGAAAACTTATTATGAAATCACGTTGGTGTTACTTAGATGGTACGTGTGAGTCACTGCAGCAGGAGGGCACTGAGGTGGCATGGCTGAGCTGACGGCCAGGCCCAGGGTTTGTGGAGATGCAAACAGGAGCCCCTCAGCCAGCCCCAGGTTGTCCTGGGGGCTGTTGCACTTCTGACTAGCTCCCCGCACCACAAATTACTGTTCTAAATGCAGATTAGTTTTACACTAGGTGACTGCAGGAGTCCCTGCTGCCATTAAAAATCTGTTATTCTTTCCCTTGCACAGCCCCAGGCTAGAGCTTGCCATCCAGTCACACCTGAATCAAGACCAACAGCCTGTGGTAGAGCTAGAGAGGATTATTATTCAGGTTTTTGGATATTGCTTAGGTTCAGGGAGCAGCCAGCAGCTTGGAGATGCACTGTGCAAAGAGATGGTGTGTACTGACCTGTAGGATTGGGGCTGGGATTCTGCCTGGCAGAGAACAAGGTGGGAGGCTGGGGCTCACAGGATCATTTTTGTTCTAGAAGACTCAAGTTAAACCTCTTCTTATCAAGCTTTTTTACTCTCTCTGCTGCTATTTATGATTTATTTTCCATAACCATTCTATTTAATGCTGCAGCATGGTTGGGGAGATGGTTTCTGTGGCAGCTGTAGAAAGCAATGGCATCATATCATTTACTGTGGAGCTGACAAGAAATGGAAAGCTCACACTAGTTACATAGATTCTTACTTTGTTGCCCAAAAGTCAGGAGCACAGTGTGAAATGGCCATGATTCTGTGGAGAAACTGGCAAGGAGATGCTATGGGGACTTCCAGCTAAAGCAAGCTCCCCGGGGAACTGGTCATACCAATGAGCTCGCCAGAATTTGAGAAGCATCTGGACAAAGCTGTCAGACTTACGGTTTGAAAATTGGGTAGTCCTATGTGGAGCCAGGAGTTGGACTCAATCATAGAACCATAGATCACCAAGGTTGGAAAAGACCTATGAGATCATCCAGTCCAACTGTCCACCTATCACCATTTCTCACTAAACCATGTCCCTCAACACAACATCTAAATGTTCCTGGAACACCTCCAGGGTCAGTGACTCCACTACTTCCCTGGGCAGCCCTTCCTGTCTCCCTGGTCAGACATTCCAGTGTCTGACCACTCTTTCGCAGAAGTAGTATTTCCTAATGCCCAACCAGAATCTCCCCTGGAGCAACTTGAGGCCATTCCCTCTAGTCCTACAGCTCATTAGGCCTCAGGGGTCCCTTCCAACAAGGGTATTCTACCATTCTAAGATACTCTTGCTGAGAACTGCTCTCCTTGCACTGATTTGAGCATCACTTTTCTACAAAAGGACCACATGTCCCCTCCTGGAGGAGCACCTGGGATGTTGCATTGCCATGGCACAGACCGGGATGATGGTCTCCATCCAGGGTGCAGCATGCCTTGAGAGCTCATGGCCCCACCACCTCACCTCTGCTGGGAACACCGAGCTCTGCAGGAGTCAGACAACTCCCAGCAAAGCACGATGAGTCTGCGAGGCTTCTTCCTACACTGGGATTTTTTATCATGCGCACGCCACGCTGCAGCTGGTTCTGGGAAGGTCTCTGCCCACACACTAAATAAATTCTGGTGCGGTGCGCTGCTTCTCTATGGAAACCGTACCCTGCATTTCTCTCTATAGGATTTTTCTCATTTCAGGCTCCATAATAAATTAACGAGAAGATGTTTTCTTTACACCAACCATAGGAGAGACTCTTTTCTGTACTCGATTAATCTTTAGTGATCTATATTAAATATTTATCTGAAGAAACGAGGCCTGTATTGCTGCAACATTTTCTATTATGAGACTTTATCATATCAAAAGATATTTTCCTGGCGCTGACTCCTTCGCATGTACCCAGACAGAATTTCCAATGGAAGGGCACTCTTTGTTTCTTTCTCTCCCAGTGACCTTTTCCCTCCATAACAAGCTGCTGATATGTTAGAATTTACTGGGTTATAAACATTTTTTATCGAGCAGGAGGAAGCTGGGTGATTTGGCACCAGCTTTCCTAATAAAACCCAAGGGAGAGGCTGCGATGTTTGACACCAATAAAGGCATGGAAGAAGAAGCTGCCTTCTGGGATGCTGGTCACGAATGCCAGCGGGAGGCAGTGACTGTTGGTCACACAACTCTGCTCTGCTGAGGCTCTGCTGGAAGGAGGCCAGCTCGCTGGCACGGGCGAGGAGCTGGGAGGAACCTGGTAAAGGGCTCCTCTGTTCCTTCCCAGCAGTACAAAAATCACATGAGAAGGGGCAGTGGGGGACAGGGATTCCTCAACACTCTTTTCCTGCAACTGGGAGGTGAAGAGACACTGAAGAGTTGAGATGTGGAAGAAGGAATGGGGACTTTCATGTTGGGGTCAGGCACTGGTCCTACAGGAGTGTAGAGAACTCAGATCAAGGTTCGATCTTGAATCAGTGGCTGAATTTTTCCTGCCCAAGATAGACTTGGCAAAGGTATAGATAAGCAGAACTATAGGAAACCCAGCCACAGGACTCTGCTTGTGGGGCCAGGAGCTGAACAGCAATGCAGCAAAAACCAGGTTCGCCAGGAGCTCACAGCCTAATACATCTCCACCTCCCAAGGGAGCCGTGATTTAAACTGGTCAATAACTAACCCATTCCTCCAAAGCTTGAATAAATCATCTGCTGACTAGATATAAACACATTATAAATGCTTCGCTCTGATAATATATGAGTGAGCTGTTATTTTGACAAATAGCTGGTGAATAATATATTTGATGAACTGCATAATATTTTACTAATGATTAATTTATTCATTTGAAACAAACAAACAAAACTCAGTCTTATCCTCAGCTATTAAAAACAACCCTAAGTAAGGGCTGCAAACAGCTTTGAGATCCCTGGATGGCCTGTATTTTCTACTATTCCCTTTATAATTGTGTATTTCTAGTGATTTATTACCAGGCATAACAAATCCATGTCTTATGCTATGGACAGTCTCATTTAAGGTAGCGATCCTGCTCAAAAGTTCCTGATTTTATAATGCCCACTAAAACCTGAAGGAATGTGGCACTTAGATAGTTAAGCACCATTAAAAAAAGGTACTCAAATGCCTTTTTAAAGTGGGGACCAAACTTCTCTGAGGCATCATCTGCTTCTTCTGCATGGAGACAGAAGCGCTGTGCTTGGGGCTCAGTAGGGGCTCAGTGGGGGCTCAGTATATACTCAGTAGGGCTGGTTACTCCAAGATGATGGTCTGCAAGGTTTACTGAGTATTGCCCTGGATGTAGTTCTCCCTCACTCTTAATCCCATTCAGAAATATAATTTCTGTGAGTTCACAGAGAAGATAAAGGACCAAAGAGCAAGAGCGCTTCCTCAGAGCCGCTCTGCAGAGGCGGGCTGATTGATTACAGATTGGATGCTGCTCCAACTTCTCTTCCTAAATGAAAAATTGAGAGCTTTTAAAAATTGAATAAAATATGCCATGCTAAGAAGGATTTCCTGTGGCACGAGCACAATAGGAGGTAGTCGTGGGTTGCTCAATATTTCTGAGCGCATTGGCTAATCCGTTACTCCTCAGTCCCTTTGCACTGTCCCCATGGCACCTGATGGTAACTCATCTGTAATTGGGATGGACTTCAGCTTTGTGTCCCCAGACAAAGCCTAAATCGCTCATGTTCAGGAGAGATCTGACTGCAGTTGTGGCTGGAGCCATCCAGGAGATTACACTTTCTCGCTGCTACTTTCATGGCTGCAGGATCTGGCATCGCTCCATTCTGGAAGGATCTGGAACAGCTTGTGATGTTTTCACCAGACAGAATTTTGTCAAAATGGCTCATTTCTTAGATCTCTCTTTTGCTGTAGTCACTAGTGACCCGAGAGGTTGCGACTTCACAAATGCACTGAAGCCAATTCATCAGCCTCAAACACTTTGTGCCAACAAAACAAAACATGTTGACAAAACCTCACTTTGAGGAAAATATTTCCTTCCCCGAGGCAATATTACTACACCTAAAACACAAAGGCTTTGTCATCCTGCCATTTGCCTTCCCTCCTCCTTCTAGAAGCACAGTCTCTCTTTTACTTTCAGCATGCAATCCCTGCCACTGTGAGAAATAATCCCACCCCAGTGGTACAAACACTTGCAAGACTTTGACAGATTGCTGAGCAGCTTCCATAGCAGACAGCAGGCAGCAGCTGCGCTTACAGCATCTTTACCTTTGATGCTGACCCACAGTCGTGCAGGAGACAGCCACCAATGGAGCTGATATGCTTAAGTGGGGAGATGAAGCACTATGTTTTTTCTAAAGGCATGGTGAAAATATCTCAGTCCCCAGGAGTGAAAACAATACACTTGCTTTTATGCCTCTTCTGCAGAAGAAAAATCAGTCCAAATACAGTTGGCAATTATCTTGTAAGCTTATTATATATAGTAGCATTCAGCCTCTTCCACGCTCTTTATTCCTCCTTTGTTGTATGCTAGAAGGGCTAGTAGGACTTATTCTGTCCCCTACTACTGAGCCATTTCACAGAAGAATATCTTCAGATTTCCTTTAATCCACCACAGCCACACAAGATGCTCATCACCCCAACATCCGAGTGTACCTCAAACACTACAGCTCCCATCTGTGAGGCTCTGGGCACATCTACAAGCACGGTGTGTTTGCTCCCTCCCTACCTCTCCAGTGGGCATGACCCAGAAACTGAATGTGCTCAGTCTGGGTAAACACAGCTGGGAAATGTGAGCCCGCTGCTCAGTGGTGACAGTGGCAGTCCCCCTTCATCTCATCACAGGAGTAGCCCTGTCTTGATGCATGTGTGTGCAAATATTCCAGGAATAAAGTGCCCCAGGGTGATGCATGTGCTTGAAGGAAACATTAGAGCAGGTTGTTGCAACACCCTTTTAATTAAGCTCATCTGAGATTATCACACAATTAGCATTGCTAGCATCCACATGTGTCTGTTCAGCGTGCCATCCTGTAGTAGGACAGAAGGCTCCAGAATGTATTTCTCTTTGTGTTTGCAATGCTTTGCTCCATGACTTGTTTTCCCTGCTAACGCAGCCTGACAAGATTTACAATTATGAATCGCCCCACAAAACTACCTTCAAACTCAAATTTAATAACCTAAGTATTATGAAGATCAATATTATGGCTATTCTCATTCATACGATTAGCACTAATATCATTCTGGGAAATATTTATGCTGCCGTAGCGACTAGAGAGCTGGATTAAGAGCAGGTCCCCAGCATCCATACAGAAGACAAGGCACTGTTCTCTCCGGCTGTGTCCTCAAGTGCAATACTCAATCTTGGAGTCTCCACGGGTTCAGATATTTTATGTAAGTTAGCTAACAAGATAACAAACCAGCCTTACAATCCCTACAGCCATATTGCTAACTGTTTGAAAATCATGAGTCAGCCTCCAAAAAAGAATTAAGGGATTGGTTTTAAAATTCATGAGACTTTTAAAATCTGATAAACTTCAGGTTTGCTTTTTCTTTCTTTCTTTTTTTTTGCCTTCTGCTTTCTGAGTATGTAGGAGTCATATTATCAAGTTTCCCTCTGCAATTATGAGGGCTGTAAACTTACTTTAAAAATTGAGTTGAGACTCTTACATAATCACAGGACTCTGAAAGTGTGGGATTTGAAGAGACACTAAATAGTCTTCAGATACAGCTTCACCATGTGATGCAGCAACACTCGGCTGCTGGAGTACGGCACAGATTTCAAATACCCAATTCTTCCCTGAAACAGTCGGGAGTCTTTTTGGGCAGGAGAGGGAAAGTCGGAGATTTTTGCAGGGTGAGAAAAACAGGAAGGGATGTCAAGTGCAAGGAGAAAAACCTCGTCTCATATGGACTGATCTTTAACTAGAGATGAAGGTAGCAGCCTTCTTGCCTTATTATCTTCTTGTCTTCTTATTCTCTTAGTCATGCAGCACACAGTTTGCCCTGTGTACCAAGCTCTCTTATTAGTGTTAGCCAGGCTGCGCAGCTGCACTCCCTGGGGAGAGCCCCAGACGTTTGGAAGGGAGTAAAAAGTAATGTTCTTGCTGTTTTTTTGCTCAAGAGCTGGAAGCTAACACTGAAATATTTACTGCTGCATATGCCATAGGCGGGTTTTCCTTTGCTGAAAGGAATAGAATCAGTGTAGAAGAAAGGAGAGCAAGGTTGGGCAGGGGCACGTGCACAGTGGAAACAACTTCTGGGATACAGTGACATATAGTGCTGGGATTTACCCTGTCCTTCTTCCACCTTGGCTAGCTGTGGGGTGGCAGGGTCTATCTGTGGATATGTGCCTGTGTTCTCACTTATGCTGAATCCTCTGAGTGCCCCACAGTGCTCTGCTATTGAAATCAGTGCTCAGACTCATCCTT